CGAAGTTGATGTATTCCCTCAGCGACCAGCACGGATCAGCTCTAGGCATGACGAAGTGGATATCCTCCTCTTTTGGAAGACCAAACGAAATAGTTTCGCTTTCACAACGAATCACACAGCGTCTCCACGACATGACGGCGGCAGCGGCATCAACAATACTACAGCGAGAATAAAAGTTATGCCTTCTTTCTTTGCGTGACCATTTGGGCGGAGTTATGAAAATCGTCCCACACAGTGACGTAGACATGTGGGGGCGTGTTTAAACGAGGCATTTTAGGAGGGCGTGGACAAGTCTTAACTTTTATAAAGAATATATCTTTGGGTTTGAGACTTTAGTCTTTGCAACTTTAGGGATCTTATCTATGCACAAACAGCTTGTAACACTCCAAAGAGAAAGGCAAATTTGAAATTGCATCATATGACCCCTTTAAACTCTATTATTTTCATACCAATAATCTGTGTATTTAATTTTTTAAAATAAATGTTATGCAGTCATTAAGTGTTAAAACATGTAAACTCTGAATGACTGAATATTCTGAAACTCTGTCATATAAATGAATATCACAATTTGTCATTGTGAGATCATTCATTTTGCAATGCATTGTAGTATTGTAACTTTGACATCCTAACCTTTTACATAATTGCTTTTAAATTATTACTTTAAAAAATAAAAATTTAAAATTACGAGTTCTCGTTACGTTGCTAATGGATATGAGAAAGAAACTACGAATGTCAGTACACAAGTTTAATTGCAATTAATTTGTAGTGTTGCAGTGTAATGTCTTATGTGTGACAACAACTTTTCAACCTGGTTACATATGTATTTATATATAGGGCTCTACAGCCATCTAGAGGTTACACCATGATATTGCAGATGATAAACGGTGCACAATGTAGAGGTTAATATTTAGTAAAATCCTCTTAAAATAATACAAATATTAAATAAAAAAAATATTTTTGAGCTAAAATCACAAACGCACAAATATATATTCGTTCTCATATTTATTTCTGTCTTTATTAATTTGTATGTTCATCGATACGTGTTTGGGCTGTTTAATATTAGGATTTTGTTTAAAATCCCCTACTGCGGCCCCGCCCCCAGCCGAGATGCATCAGCGCTACGCAGACCGTTCGGCGTATGACATCAAAGTACCACGAGTGCGATTCAAAAGCTTAAAGAGTCATCTGCTCTACAATCACTCTCACAGTATTTTGATGTCATACACCGATCGGTCTGCGCAGCGCAGACGCATCTCGAACAAACGAAACCTATATGCTCCCGCGGCTACAGGTAGGTTTCTGACTAAATACTGATACCTAGTGGTGAAAAGCAATAGCAAAAGTAGTAGGTCAGTATTATTAAATTGCAGAAAAAAATATTTTGGATAACTAGGTTGGCTTGTATGTTTGGTGCGGTAGGGGACCCAACCTCATTTTCTTTCATAGGGCCCAAAATTGCTAGCGGCTTTTAAAGACTGCTTAATTTCTAAATCTCAAAGGTGGAAGTCAGGACTAATAGACTTGGCCTGGAAAAAGGACATGGTATGATAGCTTGGCATTATACAGTGCAAAGGATATCTGGCCTTCTAGATGTAAAGTAGGCCATAACAATGGGCATCCTGGGTAGTTGTCATTATTATTTGTAGGGCCCTGTGATTGTGAATTGCTCTTGTGTACTCTCTTTTTTTTAATTGTATTATATATATATAGGGTATACATATATATACAGTATATACACATGTACATACATACATACATACAGACATACAGGTGGTGTTCTGAAATGAGGAGACAAAGTCCTTTTTTTTTTAATCAAATGTAAATTCCTGTCTCAGTCACATGTTCTTGGTTTAATAAACATTACTTACACTACCAGAAAACAACAACAACAAATACAATTCTATTTTATATTTTTACATTTATGTAATCAATATTCTGTTTATTAAAGCCAAGTATGAATCTCATCAAATTATTAAGCATTTTACATTTATTTGCAAAATAATAACTCAAGGCAGTAACAATTTAAACAAAATATTTTATTTGTGAACTTATGTTCAGCTATTCTTTTTAATAGTTAACTTTTAACTATTTTTGAATTATTCAGTTCATCAGTCATCAAAGCTCAGTAAATATTGGTCACAGACACAGAAATTTACTTTAAATTTCAACAAG